TGTGCATTTCACCTTCGCACTATTTTATGCATCGCGCTATCTTACACATCCTTCGTATTCGCACTATCTTGTGCATTTCACCTTCGCACTATTTTATGCATCGCGCTATCTTACACATCCTTCGTATTCGCACTATCTTGTGCATTTCACCTTCGCACTATTTTATGCATCGCGCTATCTTACACATCCTTCGTATTCGCACTATCTTGTGCATTTCACCTTCGCACTATTTTATGCATCGCGCTATCTTACACATCCTTCGTATTCGCACTATCTTGTGCATTTCACCTTCGCACTATTTTATGCATCGCGCTATCTTACACATCCTTCGTATTCGCACTATCTTGTGCATTTCACCTTCGCACTATTTTATGCATCGCGCTATCTTACACATCCTTCGTATTCGCACTATCTTGTGCATTTCACCTTCGCACTATTTTATGCATCGCGCTATCTTACACATCCTTCGTATTCGCACTATCTTGTGCATTTCACCTTCGCACTATTTTATGCATCGCGCTATCTTACACATCCTTCGTATTCGCACTATCTTGTGCATTTCACCTTCGCACTATTTTATGCATCGCGCTATCTTACACATCCTTCGTATTCGCACTATCTTGTGCATTTCACCTTCGCACTATTTTATGCATCGCGCTATCTTACACATCCTTCGTATTCGCACTATCTTGTGCATTTCACCTTCGCACTATTTTATGCATCGCGCTATCTTACACATCCTTCGTATTCGCACTATCTTGTGCATTTCACCTTCGCACTATTTTATGCATCGCGCTATCTTACACATCCTTCGTATTCGCACTATCTTGTGCATTTCACCTTCGCACTATTTTATGCATCGCGCTATCTTACACATCCTTCGTATTCGCACTATCTTGTGCATTTCACCTTCGCACTATTTTATGCATCGCGCTATCTTACACATCCTTCGTATTCGCACTATCTTGTGCATTTCACCTTCGCACTATTTTATGCATCGCGCTATCTTACACATCCTTCGTATTCGCACTATCTTGTGCATTTCACCTTCGCACTATTTTATGCATCGCGCTATCTTACACATCCTTCGTATTCGCACTATCTTGTGCATTTCACCTTCGCACTATTTTATGCATCGCGCTATCTTACACATCCTTCGTATTCGCACTATCTTGTGCATTTCACCTTCGCACTATTTTATGCATCGCGCTATCTTACACATCCTTCGTATTCGCACTATCTTGTGCATTTCACCTTCGCACTATTTTATGCATCGCGCTATCTTACACATCCTTCGTATTCGCACTATCTTGTGCATTTCACCTTCGCACTATTTTATGCATCGCGCTATCTTACACATCCTTCGTATTCGCACTATCTTGTGCATTTCACCTTCGCACTATTTTATGCATCGCGCTATCTTACACATCCTTCGTATTCGCACTATCTTGTGCATTTCACCTTCGCACTATTTTATGCATCGCGCTATCTTACACATCCTTCGTATTCGCACTATCTTGTGCATTTCACCTTCGCACTATTTTATGCATCGCGCTATCTTACACATCCTTCGTATTCGCACTATCTTGTGCATTTCACCTTCGCACTATTTTATGCATCGCGCTATCTTACACATCCTTCGTATTCGCACTATCTTGTGCATTTCACCTTCGCACTATTTTATGCATCGCGCTATCTTACACATCCTTCGTATTCGCACTATCTTGTGCATTTCACCTTCGCACTATTTTATGCATCGCGCTATCTTACACATCCTTCGTATTCGCACTATCTTGTGCATTTCACCTTCGCACTATTTTATGCATCGCGCTATCTTACACATCCTTCGTATTCGCACTATCTTGTGCATTTCACCTTCGCACTATTTTATGCATCGCGCTATCTTACACATCCTTCGTATTCGCACTATCTTGTGCATTTCACCTTCGCACTATTTTATGCATCGCGCTATCTTACACATCCTTCGTATTCGCACTATCTTGTGCATTTCACCTTCGCACTATTTTATGCATCGCGCTATCTTACACATCCTTCGTATTCGCACTATCTTGTGCATTTCACCTTCGCACTATTTTATGCATCGCGCTATCTTACACATCCTTCGTATTCGCACTATCTTGTGCATTTCACCTTCGCACTATTTTATGCATCGCGCTATCTTACACATCCTTCGTATTCGCACTATCTTGTGCATTTCACCTTCGCACTATTTTATGCATCGCGCTATCTTACACATCCTTCGTATTCGCACTATCTTGTGCATTTCACCTTCGCACTATTTTATGCATCGCGCTATCTTACACATCCTTCGTATTCGCACTATCTTGTGCATTTCACCTTCGCACTATTTTATGCATCGCGCTATCTTACACATCCTTCGTATTCGCACTATCTTGTGCATTTCACCTTCGCACTATTTTATGCATCGCGCTATCTTACACATCCTTCGTATTCGCACTATCTTGTGCATTTCACCTTCGCACTATTTTATGCATCGCGCTATCTTACACATCCTTCGTATTCGCACTATCTTGTGCATTTCACCTTCGCACTATTTTATGCATCGCGCTATCTTACACATCCTTCGTATTCGCACTATCTTGTGCATTTCACCTTCGCACTATTTTATGCATCGCGCTATCTTACACATCCTTCGTATTCGCACTATCTTGTGCATTTCACCTTCGCACTATTTTATGCATCGCGCTATCTTACACATCCTTCGTATTCGCACTATCTTGTGCATTTCACCTTCGCACTATTTTATGCATCGCGCTATCTTACACATCCTTCGTATTCGCACTATCTTGTGCATTTCACCTTCGCACTATTTTATGCATCGCGCTATCTTACACATCCTTCGTATTCGCACTATCTTGTGCATTTCACCTTCGCACTATTTTATGCATCGCGCTATCTTACACATCCTTCGTATTCGCACTATCTTGTGCATTTCACCTTCGCACTATTTTATGCATCGCGCTATCTTACACATCCTTCGTATTCGCACTATCTTGTGCATTTCACCTTCGCACTATTTTATGCATCGCGCTATCTTACACATCCTTCGTATTCGCACTATCTTGTGCATTTCACCTTCGCACTATTTTATGCATCGCGCTATCTTACACATCCTTCGTATTCGCACTATCTTGTGCATTTCACCTTCGCACTATTTTATGCATCGCGCTATCTTACACATCCTTCGTATTCGCACTATCTTGTGCATTTCACCTTCGCACTATTTTATGCATCGCGCTATCTTACACATCCTTCGTATTCGCACTATCTTGTGCATTTCACCTTCGCACTATTTTATGCATCGCGCTATCTTACACATCCTTCGTATTCGCACTATCTTGTGCATTTCACCTTCGCACTATTTTATGCATCGCGCTATCTTACACATCCTTCGTATTCGCACTATCTTGTGCATTTCACCTTCGCACTATTTTATGCATCGCGCTATCTTACACATCCTTCGTATTCGCACTATCTTGTGCATTTCACCTTCGCACTATTTTATGCATCGCGCTATCTTACACATCCTTCGTATTCGCACTATCTTGTGCATTTCACCTTCGCACTATTTTATGCATCGCGCTATCTTACACATCCTTCGTATTCGCACTATCTTGTGCATTTCACCTTCGCACTATTTTATGCATCGCGCTATCTTACACATCCTTCGTATTCGCACTATCTTGTGCATTTCACCTTCGCACTATTTTATGCATCGCGCTATCTTACACATCCTTCGTATTCGCACTATCTTGTGCATTTCACCTTCGCACTATTTTATGCATCGCGCTATCTTACACATCCTTCGTATTCGCACTATCTTGTGCATTTCACCTTCGCACTATTTTATGCATCGCGCTATCTTACACATCCTTCGTATTCGCACTATCTTGTGCATTTCACCTTCGCACTATCTTGGGCATCACATTATCTTGCGCATCCTTTGTACTCGCGCTTTCTTGCGCATCTTTCATATTTGCGCGTTTTTGCGCATCGAACTCTCTTGTGCACTTTGATCGCACTATTTTGTCCATCCACTTTGCTCGCACTATTTTGTGAATTTGTTTCGTATCACACTATCATGTTCACTTTGCATCGCACTATTTTGTGCATCTTACTTGCACTATGTTTGTAACATCTTTACTCGCACTATTTTGTACATCTTACTTGCACTTTGTAACATCTTTACTCTGACGCCCCGAAATAATTCAACATTTACCCAACAATAACAATTATCTGCCCATCTTTACATAATTAATAAAGGGTCTTTACAAAGGTTTTACATGCGGGTATACATTCATCAATACAAACATATGAATCTATAGCATGTAAAGCGTCCATTCTCAAAATAATACAATGCCCTTAAGGGCTTACATCTTCCAAGGCATAAGTCTGGTTACACAAAAAAAATGGTTTCTGCAACCCATACACATTAGCCCTTGGCTCAAAAGAATTACACAAAATAAAAGAGCTACGTACTCTTCTCAAAATATCCACGCCCTCAGTTCGGCGGGATCACCACATCTTTACCTGCACCAAATCCCATAGGGGTGAGCAAAAGCCTAGTAGAGAATTCTTACAAAGTATATACAGTTATGCATACTCTTAAAAACAAATGCAATTGTTAATGCCATGCCATGCATCCTTATAAAAAAGTCCATTTCATGCACGTTTGTAAGTTTTTATCTTCTCAACAATCATTTGCCAACTTAACATTTTTTGTTTCCAACATTTCCAATCATTAATCAACAGGGGTGGTAAATACGACACTGGTAATTCCTAGGCTGGTGTCTGCAAGTAGACTCTACGAGTACTACCAATCTGTCATTTTTACCAGTATTAATCGGAAGGCTCGACACCTATCCGCGCAGCTTTTGGGTCTTTCACCCTGGACACTTAGGCAAACTTATCAAATTCAACTACACCCCCTATCCGGACTTGCCATGTATTTACCCCATTCACAATTCCATAATTCTCATTTCAACATAATCTTTTTCAAAGTAAACCTGTTCCAATTCATTTCCATATGTGTAACAATGATAATAAATCAAATGAGAACATGATCCAATACATAATATCTCATGACATTTCTCCATTTTCAATGTCTTCACAATAATGTCAACATTCACAATTTCCATTTCCCCTCTTCACTGTTCTTTTACAAAATCCCCATGAGCCATTAATACATAGCTACAATCAATATTCATGGTGCACAACAATTGTCATTCCACAAGTATATACTATCATTTATTCAACAATAGTTCTTAAAGCAAACACCTATTTAATGTCAAAAACTTTCCATATTTGCAAAGCACATTGTGAAATCAAGGCTCACTCATCTTTTTATCAAAAGAAAAGAAGGTTCCAAGAACTTTTCCACATTTCATGGTGAAACCCACCCAAATCATATTCTTCGAATTAAATAAAGTGGAAACCTTTTAGGATTAGCAAAAGGGTTGTGATTTAAACTCCTATTTTTTCAAAACCCCTTTTACATTTGGAGCAAAAATCATACTCAACACAATAATCTCAACACTTTTTTTTTTTGAACTGGAATCTCAACACTTTTAAGATCAACATTTAGATAACAAAACATGTATATATAACTCAAGAAATCCCTACCTCAAATGGAGAGACTCAAAGGAGATGAAGGAGGAAACTCAAGATGCTCTGAATCCCAAAATTTTCGGATCAAAACGAAGCCCACGCAAAGCTCCACACTATTTACAAAGGATGTAGGGTAGAAACCCTCTAGATCAAGTGCTCTTGAAGAGAGAAGGGGTGTTTTAGAGAGAGAGTGTGCCGAATCTAGGGTTTGGAGAGAAATGGAGATGAAAAAGTGATGTTTTACCCGTTGCTGTGAATTGATATACTCGAGGCTCGCTTGAGCGAAGGAGTAGTCGCTCGAGGGACCAGACACAAAAGATCCTCGCTTGAGCGCAATAAGCGTCGCTCGAGCGAACAATGGAAAGCTCAGGTCTGTAACCCAGAAACACGCTCGAGCGAAAAACCGCTCGCTCGAGCGAATAAACCCAAAACATAGACCTCGCTCGCTCGAGCCAAGAATGACAACCTTTAGGTCCAAAGGAGACGCACACGCACACTCGAGCACAAGGCCCATCGCTCAAGCGAAGGGACACACCACTCAAATCTCGCTCGAGCGAAGGAACTAAAGCACAAAGCTCGCTCGAGCGACAAAGACCTCGCTCGAGCGAAGATACCAAAATTTGGACAGCAACCATTTGTTTCAAAACACACCCAACCTGTTCTAAACCTACCCAACACATCCCAAAACTCGAAAATAAAGACTTAAAGGACGGAAACAAGATAGACACCTCAATAACCAACCATGAAACCCGAGTTCAGAATACAATATATGATGAGAAAAAATCGGGATCGCTATAACCTCCCCCCCTTTAAGAATTTTGTCCCCGAAATTAGACATACAAGCTCCAAAATTAATTGTATTCAATTCTCAAAAGATTATAATTTCAACGTTCGCCAACTTGACCCATTACCGGTCATTTCATTACCTCCCAAGGGAACCATAAGCAATATAACTCATGCTTCATCAAAACATATTCAATGTTTACAACAGTTTAAATTTCAAAACTCAAATAACATATACAATGTTTAAGGTCAACTCATGTTTCCGAAACACATCCCAACATTTCCAACATTTCCATAGTTCAAACATACACAATGTTCCTAGAATTCATCAATAAAACAACATTTCTAATGCATGGTTAAACATTAATAAACAAGTCCGGATATTTCTCTCGGACTTCCAACTCACGTTCCCAAGTGGCTTCTTCCGCTCCATGATGTTTCCACAAAACTTTCACCAAAAGGATAATCTTGCCTTGCAAAACTTGGTCCTGTCTATCTAAGACCCGCACCGGTCTCTCCTCGTAGGAGGCATCCTCATCTACCTCCAAATCAACCCAATCTAACACGTAAGAAGGGTCGGGTTCGTACTTCCTAAGCATTGACACATGAAACACATTGTGAACCTCCGAAAGTTGTGGCGGTAAAGCTAACCAATATGCCACTTCCCCAATTCTCTCCAATATCTCAAAAGGCCTAATGAACCTCGGAGACAATTTCCCACTTTTGCCAAACCGCATCAAACCCCGCCTAGGTGAGATTTTAAGGAACACATGATCACCTACTTCAAAGGATAACGGTCGCCTCCTCTTATCGGCGTAACTCTTCTGTCGGCTTTGGGCTGTAGCTAATCTCTTCTGAATGAGGGCAACTTTCTCGGTAGTCTCCCTAACAATCTTCGGTCCCAGCAACGGTGCATCTTCTATCTCGGCCTAACAAATGGGTGACCTAGAAGGTCGGCCATACAAGGCCTCAAACAGTGTCATCTTAATACTCGCTTGATAGCTATTATTGTAAGCAAATTCAATCAACGGTAAGTGCCTCTCCCAAGACCCCTTGAAATCTTGGACACAAGCTCTAAGCATATCCTCCAAAATCTGTATTGTACGTTCTGATTGCCCATCGGTTTGGGGGTGATAAGCAGTACTAAACGTTAACTTGGTTCCCAATGCCTCTTGAAGGCTTTGCCACAACCGGGTAGTGAAATGAGGGTCTCTATATGATACTATGGTCACTGGAACCCCATGAAGTCGAACTATCTCCCTAACATACAATTCTGCCAAGTGCTCAACTGAGTCGCTAGTACGCATAGGAATAAAGTGTGTGGACTTAGTCAGCCTATCAACAATCACCCAAATGGCATCATTGCCCCGCTGCGTTCTAGGAAGCCCAACTACGAAATCCATAGTTACGTGTTCCCATTTCCACTCGGCTATAGGTAAGGGTTGTAGCAAACCCGCTGGTCTCTGGTGCTCGGCTTTGACTTGCTGACAAGTAAGGCACTTCGACATGAAGGATGCGACATCCCGTTTCATACCCCTCCACCAAAACTGACGGCTAAGGTCTCGATACATTTTGGTGCCTCCCGGATGTACCGCAAGGCATGAGGATGGAATTCCCGAAGCACTCCCTCTGTACAAGATTCCGCACAAACAAACGATCTAGGTAATATACACTCTGATCTGAGTGAATGTTCAAACCTTTCTCCTCCTTCCCATTGGAGATTCTCTCCCGAATTAACTCCACTTCGCGGTCTCCCTGTTGTGCCTCTGCAACTCTACTAATCAAAACAGGTTGAGCACTCAAGGTAAACAACGTAGCACTTTCTTCGGACTCACCCAATTGCAACCCAAACTTACCGACTTCACCCAACATATTCTACTCCCGAATGGCCACACTCGCCAAACTACTCACAGTTTTTCGGCTTAAGGCGTCGACCACTACATTGGCCTTCCCCGGATGATAGTGTAACTCAAAATCATAGTCTTCTAGAAATTCCATCCACCTCCGTTGACGCAAATTTAAATCTTTTTGGGAGAACAAATATTTCAAGCTCTTATGGTCGGAGAAAACTTCAAACTTCTCACCGTACAAGTAATGCCTCCAAATCTTCAAGGCAAACACTACTGCAGCTAGCTCTAAGTCGTGGGTAGGATAATTCTTCTCATGAGTTTTCAACTTTCGGGAGCCATACGCTACTACCTTTCCCTCTTGCATCAAAACACAACCAAGCCCATCCTGAGATGCATCACAAAAGACGGTATACCCCAAACCTCTCTCTGGAATGATCAACACTGGTGCCGTGGTCAATCTAGTTTTTAGTTCCTGAAAGGACTTCTCACAAGACTCACTCCACACAAACTTAACCCCCTTTCTAGTCAATCTAGTCAAAGGCGCGACTAGTCTAGAGAAATCTCTTACAAAACGCCGATAGTACCCCGCCAATCCCAAGAAACTCCGAATCTCAAAGACATTCTTAGGTTTCTCCCAATCTTGCACAGAATCTATCTTCGAGGAATCTACTATTACTCCCTCTCTTGACACAACATGGCCCAAAAACTTCACCTCAATGAGCCAAAACTCACACTTCTCAAATTTTGCATACAACTGATGCTCCCTAAGCAAGTCAAGAACTATCCACAAATGAGTCTCATGTTCCTTCTCGGAGGTTGAATAGATCAGGATGTCGTCCATGAAGACAACCACAAAATGATCCAAGTACTCTCTAAATATTTGGTTTATCAAATCCATGAAGGAAGCCGGTGCGTTCGTCAAACCAAAAGGCATTACTATGAACTCGTAGTGGCCATAACGCATACAAAAGGCCATTTTCTGGATGTCCTCCTCCCAGACTCTCAACTGATGGTACCCTGACCTCAAGTCTATCTTCGAAAAGCAACAAGACCCTCTAAGTTGATCGAACAAGTCATCTATTCTGGGCAAAGGGTATTTGTTCTTAACAGTGACTCGGTTCAACTTGCGGTAGTCTATACACAACCGTAACGATCTGTCTTTCTTCTTCGCAAAGAGAGTCGGCGCTCCCCAAGGCGACGTGCTAGGGTGAATGAAGCCTTTGTCTAAAAGCTCTTGGAGTTGAATCTTCAACTCATGCAACTCCTCGGGTGCAAATCTATACGACGCCATAGAAATGGGTACCATTCCAGGCACTAAGTCGATAGTGAACTCAACCTCCTGGTGGGGCGGCAAACTAGTAAGGTCCTCGGGAAACACTTCCGGGTATTCACACACTACCCTTGGCAACTCAACTCGAGTTTCGACACTCTCACTATCCAAGAGAGTAGCTAGAAGGCTGCTAAGCTCATTCCTACTCCGAGGATCAAACACCGATGATAAAACCCAATCAACCCTATCCCCTAGAAAATAAAAATAATCACCACCCGAAGTGCACTCTGTGACTCTTTGCCGAAAACAATCAATTACTGCCCGATACGAAGACAACCAAACCATGCCTAGAATAACATCGAAGCTAGACATGTCTAGCAACACAAAAGCAAACGGGAGTCTACACCCAGCAACCTCTATCTCATAACCATGACATCCCCGGTCTAGGTCAACTGTACCCCCAACTGGCGACTCAACTCGGAGTGGAGACGCTAACGGTACCAATTCTAACCCCAATGCAGATGTGAATGTAGCAGGTATGAATGAATGAGATGCACATGTATCTATCAACACACTGACCAAAGAGTTACACACAATAAATATACCTCTCACCACTAAAGGTCCTAGCAACTGTTCTGGCGTTGTAACAGCATGCACGCGCGCTTGTGGTCTCTGGTCAACCTGCTCTTCTCTCGGAGCATAGGCCTGCTGTATTGACTGAGCCGAAGCGGCTCCCTGATGAACTCTCGCCGCCTCCACAAGGCGATCATACTCTCGGATCATGTCCTCGGCAACCTTGAACAAAATCTTTGTCCTCAACCTTTGCTCAAACTCAAAGCAACGACGCTCCTCCGTCGCTACCAACTCTGGTGCAAACCGGAACAAGCTAGAAAAGGCCGTTTCAAATTCGGCCATAGACATATTAAGCTGCTTAAGGTCCTTGAATTCTTGTCTCAGCCTCTCCCGAGTTGTGAGAGGTAAGTACTTGTCTTTGAAGGCCGTCACAAATGCCTCCCATGTTGGTGCTATCCGGTCCTTTGCATATTTCCACCATTGGCCGGCGTCACCTTTGAGGTAATAACTAGCAAGGGTCACCCTCAACTCCCCATCCTTTGTATGGAGCATATCAAAGGTCTTCACGGTTTGTTCCAACCATTCGTCCCTTTTCTTTGGATTGGGGCCGCCATGGAATTCATCCGGCTTGGCCCTTAAAAACTCCCTCGTGAGGAAGCTAGCTCTAGTCTCAGCGACATTCTCCCTCTCTTGGGTCTCCACCCTCAGTATGTTCATGGACTCCCTTAATGCCCCTGCAATCTCCCGGGCTAAAGCCCCCATTGCAGCTTGGCTTGGTTGCCCCAGCACCTCTGCTTGCCCCACTTGTTCGGCCATGTTAGCTTGGCTTAAACCCTCTTCTTGTACCGGGACCTCTTAGACCGGCACCTCAAATACACCCTGGTGACCTCAACCTCGCCTTCCACCCCTACCACCTCGAGTTCAAACTCTTCCTGACATCTGTAGACACCCCATTTTTGACCGACCTTAAGACTCAGACGTCACCATTTGAGCACTTGGTGATGTTGCATAATGTGCTCGTTCAGAAGTTTCGGAGTCGCGGCCGTGAGCCTTACCTCCGGATTTCCGAACCCTCTTCTATGCCTTGTCTCAGTTTGCGAACCAGACTCGATTTTCTCTGTTTCTTTTCCTAAGGGGAGGGAGAGGTCCCGTAGACCATCTCTCAGTGGCCGTGGGCTACATTTTGTGGCCGCAGGCCATTTTGCCCATTTCGGAGTCCGGTTTCCGGTTTTTCGGGACCATTGGCCAGCTTGTATGCTTATCTGTGGATATTGTTGATATACATATCTGTTATGAAGTGTGGATACAGCTTGTATGCTTATCTGTGGAGATTGTTGATATACATATCAGTTGTGAAGTGTGGTTCACGCAAAAATGGCATCATTGCCCCGCTGCGTTCTAGGAAGCCCAACTACGAAATCCATAGTTACGTGTTCCCATTTCCACTCGGCTATAGGTAAGGGTTGTAGCAAACCCGCTGGTCTCTGGTGCTCGGCTTTGACTTGCTGACAAGTAAGGCACTTCGACATGAAGGATGCGACATCCCGTTTCATACCCTCCACCAAAACTGACGGCTAAGTCTCGATACATTTTTGGTGCCTCCCGGATGTACGCGCAAGGCATGAGGATGGAATTCCCGAAGCACTCCCTCTGTACAAGATTCCGCACAAACAAACGATCTAGGTAATATACACTCTGATCTGGTGAATGTTCAAACCTTTCTCCTCCTTCCCATTGGAGATTCTCTCCCGATTAACTCCACTTCGCGGGTCTCCCTGTTGTGCCTCTCAACTCTACTAATCAAAACACGGTTGAGCACTCAAGGTAAACAACGTTAGCACTTTCTTCGGACTCACCCAATTGCAACCCAAACTTACCGACTTCACCCACATATTCTACTCCCGAATGGCACACTCCGCCAAACTACTCACAGTTTTTCGGTTAAGGCGTCGACCACTACATTGGCCTTCCCCGGATGATAGTGTAACTCAAATCATAGTCTTCTAGAATTCCTCCACCTCCGTTGACGCAAATTTAAATCTTTTTGGGAGAACAAATATTTCAGCTCTTATGGTCGGAGAAACTTCAAACTTCTCACCGTACAAGTAATGCCTCCAAATCTTCAAGGCAAACACTACTGCAGCTAGCTCAAGTCGTGGGTGGATAATTCTTCTCATGAGTTTTCAACTTTCGGGAGCCATACGCTACTACCTTCCCTCTTGCCATCAAAACACAACCAGCCCATCCTGAGATGCATCACAAAAGACGGTATACCCCAAACTCTCTCTGGAATGATCAACACTGTGCCGTGGTCAATCTAGTTTTTAGTTCCTGAAAGGACTTCTCACAAGACTCACTCCACACAAACTTAACCCCTTTCTAGTCAATCTAGTCAAAGGCGCGACTAGTCTAGAGAAATCTCTTACAAACGCCGATAGTACCCCGCCAATCCCAGAAACTCCGAATCTCAAAGACATTCTTAGGTTTCTCCCAATCTTGCACAGAATCTATCTTCGAGGAATCTACTATTACTCCCTCTCTTTGACACAACATGGCCCAAAAACTTCACCTCAATGAGCCAAAAACTCACACTTCTCAAATTTTGCATACAACTGATGCTCCCTAGCAAGTCAAGAACTTCCACAAATGAGTCTCATGTTCCTTCTCGGAGGTTGAAAGATCAGGATGTCGTCCATGAAGACAACCACAAAATGATCCAAGTACTCTCTAAATATTTGGTTTATCAAATCCATGAAGGAAGCCGGTGCGTTCGTCAAACCAAAAGGCATTACTATGAACTCGTAGTGGCCATAACGCATACAAAAGGCCATTTTCTGGATGTCCTCCCTCCCAGACTCTCAACTGATGGTACCCTGACCTCAAGTCTATCTTCGAAAAGCAACAAAGACCTCTAAGTTGATCGAACAAGTCATCTATTCTGGGCAAAGGGTATTTGTTCTTAACAGTGACTCGGTTCAACTTGCGGTAGTCTATACACAACCGTAACGATCTGTCTTTCCTTTCTTCGCAAAGAGAGTCGGCGCTCCCAAGGCGACGTGCTAGAGGTGAATGAAGCCTTTTGTCTAAAAGCTCTTGGAGTTGAATCTTCACTCATGCAACTCCTCGGGTGCAAATCTATACGACGCCATAGAAATGGGTACCATTCCAGGCACTAAGTCGATAGTGAACTCAACCTCCTGGTGGGGCGGCAAATAGTAAGGTCCTCGGGAAACACTTCGGGTATTCACACACTACCCTGGCAACTCAAGTCGAGTTTCGACACTCTCACTATCCAAGAGAGTAGCTAGAAGGCTGCTAAGCTCATTCCTACTCCGAGGATCAAAACACCGATGATAAAACCCAATCAACCCTATCCCCTAGAAAAATAAAAATAAATCACCACCCGAAGTGCACTCTGTGACTCTTTGCCGAAAACAATCAATTACTGCCCGATACGAGATAACAACAACATGCTAGAATAACATCGAAGCTAGACATGGTCTAGCAACACAAAGCAAACGGGAGTCTACGCCCAACAACCTCTATCTCATAACCATGACATCCCCGGTCTAGTCAACTGTACCCCCAACTGGCGACTCAAACTCGAGTGGAGACGCTAACGGTACCACTTCTAACCCCAATGCCAGATGTGAATGTAGCAGATATGAATGAATGAGACGCACATGTAATCTATCAAACACACTGGCCAAAGAGTTAACACACAATAAATATCCTCTCACCACTGAAGGTCCTGGCAACTGTTCTGGCGTTGTAACAGCATGCACGCGCCATTGTGGTCTCTGGTCAACCTGCTCTTCTCTCGGAGCATAGGCCTGCTGTATTGACTTGAGCCGAAGCGGCTCCCTAATGAACTCTCGAAGCCTGAGCTGAGTGGGCCCGTTGGTGGCTCTGTGTCTGCCTAGACCCCGATGTGCCAGATGTGCCTCCTAACTACGGGCATGCTCTCTTCATATGCCCCGACTGACCACACTGGAAGCAAGTAGGCCCTGACTCCTACTCTGAGACTGAGCTTTGTGACGCGGTTAGGCGGTGTGGTAACATCTGCTGTCCTCCGCCCTTCTGCGGACATATAAGGGCCTTGTGACCTGGTTGGTCACATTTGAATCAAGAAAATCACTCGATGCACTCTTCCCGAGCCCACACTAGGCAAGGGGAAGGTGGATTAGTATGCTGCGACTGGGATTGGATGAAAAAGTGCTCATTCTCTCTTGTTAGGCCTAAAGTCCCCCTGTGACCCTTGGCCCCTAGACCTCGAATTCCAAAGTCTCTCCTCCTCGGCCTCCACTGTAATCTCACATATGCAGCCGCCTCCACAAGGCGATCATACTCTCGGATCATGTTCCCAAGCAACCTTGAACAAAAATCTTGTCCTCAACCTTTGCTCAAACTCAAAGCAACGGCGCTCCTCCGTCGCTACCAACTCTGGTGCAAACCGAACAAGCTAGAAAAGGCCGCTTCAAATTCGGCAATAGCCATATTAAGCTGCTTACGGTCCTTGAATTCCTGTCTCAGCCTCTCCCGAGCTGTGGGAGGTAATACTTGTCTTTGAAGGCCGTCACAAATGCCTCCCATGTTGGTGCTATCCTGTCCTTTGCATATTTTCCACCATTGGCCGGCGTCACCTTGAGGTAATAACTAGCAAGGTCACCCTCAACTCCCATCCTTTATATGGAGCATATCAAAGGTCTTCAGGGTTTGTTCCAACCATTCGTCCCTTTCCTTTGGATTGGGGCCGCCATGGAATTCATCCGGCTTGGCCCTTAAAAACTCCCTCGTGAGGAGCTAGCTCTAGTCTCAGCGACATTCTCCCTCTCTTGGGTCTCCACCCTCAGTATGTTCATGGACTCCCTTAATGCCCCTGCAATCTCCCGGCTTAAAGCCCCCATTGCAGCTTGGCTTGGTTGCCCCAGCACCTCTGCTTGCCCCACTTGTTCGGCCATGTTAGCTTGGCTTAAACCCTCTTCTTGTACCGGGACCTCTTAGACCGGCACCTCAAATACACCCTGGTGACCTCACCTCGCCTTCCACCCCTACCACCTCGAGTCAAACTCTTCCTGACATCTGTAGACACCACCATTTTTGACCGACCTTAAGACTCAGACGTCACCATTTGAGCATTGGTGATGTTGCATAATGTGCTCGTCAGAAGTTTCGGAGTCGCGGCCGTGAGCCTTACCTCCGGATTTCCGAACCCTCTTCTATTGCCTTGTCTCAGTTTGCGAACCAGACTCGATTTTCTTCGTTTCTTTTCCTAAGGGAGGGAGAGGTCCCCGTAGACCATCTTCAAGTGGCCGTGGGCTACATTTTGTGGCCGCAGGCCATTTTGCCCATTTCGGAGTCCGGTTTCCGTTTTTCGGGACCATTGGCCGTGTGCCTCGGTTCGGGACCGCCTAACCATCTCCGTTTGTTTCTGATTTTGGCATACTTCCTTTCTACTCCTTTTGAGGACACTGGGGTCTGAGAAACCCACTTCGTGGCCAAATGCCACTTTCGGTGCTTAACAGCCCATTTTCGGGACCCCGAACTGCGTGTTTTGGCCCCGAGCATTCGTTTTGCATCGGTTTTCGGTTCATTTTTGGCAGGTTGCCTCTGTTTCATCACCAGGAAGGTCACTGGAGGGTGGGAGGCCAGCAATTATCTGGGCAACAGTTATATTCTATTTTCGCCCTCCGACACCCGTTTTTTCTCCTTCCGAGCCAATGTTGAACACCTTGGGCCACTTTCTTCAACCCCAAACCACATATTTGTGTTGTACACATGGGAGGCCTAAAGTTTATGGCCGGCCAGAAATCTCC